TGAGGGAAAAAGTGGGAATTTGGGGATTTTTTGGGAATTTTTGGGAATTCTGACCTTGATCTGCCTCCCCCGGAAGAGCGACTCGTCCAGAGCCATCGAGGTCCGCACCGACTCCTTGTCCGAGAATTCGATGTACGCAAAGCTGGAAATGGGAAAAAAATCAGCAAAATGGACCAAAAATGGGGGAATTCGGCCCAAAAATCGGCACGAAAATCGGCCCGAAAATGGGGGAATTAGGGACAAAAATCGGTAATAAAATCAGACCAAAAACGGCGGAATTCGGCCCAAAAATCGGCACGAAAATCGGCCCGAAAACAAGGGAAGTAGGGACAAAAATCGGCACTAAAATCAGCCCAAAATGGACCAAAAACGGCGGAATTCGGCCCAAAAATCGGCACGAAAATCGGCCCGAAAACGGGGGAATTAGGGACAAAAATCGGCACTAAAATCAGACCAAAATTGGCACTAAAATCAGCCCAAAATGGACCAAAAATGGGGGAATTCGGCCCAAAAATCGGCACGAAAATCGGCCCGAAAACAAGGGAATTAGGGACAAAAATCGGCACTAAAATCAGCCCTAAAATGGGGGAATTCGGCCCAAAAATCAGCTCTAAAATCAGACCAAAATTGGCACTAAAATCAGCCCAAAATGGACCAAAAATGGGGGAATTCGGGCCAAAAATCGGCACTAAAATCAGCCCAAAAACAAGGGAATTAGGGCAAAAAATCGGCACTAAAATCAGACTAAAATGAACCAAAAACGGCGGAATTCGGCCCAAAAATCGGCACGAAAATCGGCCCAAAAACGGGGGAATTCGGCCCAAAAATCGGTACTAAAATCAGCCCAAAATGGACCAAAAATGGCGGAATTCGGCCCAAAAATCGGCACTAAAATGGGGAAACTCAGCCCAAAAATCAGCATTAAAATCACACAGAAATCAGCCCAAAAATGGGGAAATTCAGCCCAAAAGTCAACCCAAAAATGGGGAAACTCTGTCCAAAAATCAGCACTAAAATCAGACCAAAATTGGCACTAAATTTAGCCCAAAATGGACCAAAAACGGGGGAATTCGGCCCAAAAATCGGCACTAAAATCAGCCCTAAAATGGGGAAATTCAGCCCAAAATGGACCAAAAATGGGGAAATTCAGCCCAAAAATAACCCCAAAAACCACCTCGAAATTAGCCCAAAACGGCCCAAAAATGGGGAAATTCAGCCCAAAAATCAGACAAAAATCAGCCCAAAATTGGGGAAATTCAGCCCAAAAATCAGACTAAAATCAGCCCAAAATGGACCAAAACCGGGAGAATTCATCCCAAAACTCCCCCCAAGCAGCGGGGCGGGGCGGGGGCGTGTCCGGCGGGGCGCTCATTAGCATAAATCTGCATGCATTTGCATACGCACCCCTTGGGGTGCCCGCTGTACTTGTCGCACAAGATGGTGACGCGGTTGACGGAGCCGCAGCCGTGGAAATGCGCCTCCAGCTCCTCGGCCGTGGCGCCGTAATCCACCTGCAATTCCCAAAAAAAACAACGTTCCTGAAATTCCGGAAATTCGGGAATTTTTGGGCATTTTTCGGGATTTTTTTCGGCGCGTTTTGGTGGTTTTTTGGCGATTTTTCGGCGTTTTTTCAGCGATTTTTCGCCGTTTTTCGCCCTCAAAATTCCCCGATTTTGCCCCGAAATTCCCAATTTTCCCCCTGCCAAAATTCCTCAAAAATCCCCAAAATTCCCCAATTTCCCCCAAAAATCCCAATTTTCCCCTCCCAAAATTCCTCAAAAATC